CAGCAGGCTGTCAAAGGTAACAGTTCCTGTGGGCTGCGAAGTCTAAAAGTTTCTTGATTGACCCTGTGAAATTAAAGTCAGACTTACCAAAAGTGCCCTGGTGGCACGCGAGCTGTCATACATCTTGTGTGGTCACTTGGTGCAGGAAGCTAGCAACTATCTGTTAGATTTGCACAGAAGAGCGATGCAGCAGAAATAAAACATGTCTCTGGTTTGGAAATAAGCTTTGGAGATCAGAGAGCTGTTGCTGTAGAAAATAAAGGTTCGTTGAGACTGGAGTGAGCCTTGTTCTCTCCAGGGTGGTTGGAGAAATGGAGGTTGCACTGTGGTCTGCAGGACTTTGTTCAACCAAAACATCCCCTGAAGCTGAGCAGGTTGTTTTACTTCGCTGAGATGCACAGAATTTGGTTCATAGTAGTGCTTTTCTCACTTAAAGGGGTGCTGAGCTTGGCGTTGGTTGACTGAAGAGATAGTGCCAATTTCAACACCTGCCCTTATTTTGGTGTTTGTGAGGTTCTGCCTCTCTCACCACCCACCTTTCCTGAGAAGAGGAACGTGGTGTTTCTCGGCCTGCAGAACAGGGCGGTCGAGTTGCCGTGTTTCGTGTCCTGGGGACTGCTCTCTTGCCTTCTTTTCTGTGTGAGCTCATTGCAAGTTTGGTACATGTGAAGCTGGACTGTCTTGAAAGCCACGAGGTTTCGTGACCCCCTCAGGCATTGCGCACCAGGTGAAAGCAACCTGGATTCCTCCTGTTCAGCGAGGATAGAGCAACGTCCTCTCTGCATCAAATAACACGGTAACTAAAACATTATGATAGGGTTATTCAGAGAGTTTTAAGAGTCCAGTCTTCCCAACCCAGCAAGGGTAGCGACACTTGAGGTCCCTTTAAGTCCTGTAAATTTTTTTCCAAGAGTTGGTCCTCCACCAAAGTAGAAGAAGATAAATCTTTAGGCCTCTGCCGATGCCGTTAGAAGCTACCAGTTGAGGTTTTTTTCTAATTGCTTTCTACTTGAGATCTAAAACGCTCAGCACGCATCGTTCTCTCTGCTTCTTGGCTTGCAGGGCTGCGAAGGGCAGCTTGTAAACAAGTGATGACTGAGGTTCTTTGTCTTGTACCCTCCTGTCTAGGAAAGGGAGGCTCCGGCGTTTCTGGGAAGTTAAGTGCCTCTGTGGCTCTTCAGGGGAAAGCTCGATAAATAGCAGCTGTCCTGCTGTCCTCTGTGGGACTTGTTTCCTTGAGAAGATGTGGCAAAGGGTTCAGCTTGTGGGACCAAAAAGGCTGGACTCTGCAGGCAGCGCTGATGGCAATTTTTTAACTGTTTCAGGTGAAAAACTGATTGAAGGGCAAGTCATTGAACTTGAAGATGGGACTACGGCTTATATCCATCAAGTGACGGTTCAGAAAGGTGAGTACCATAAATTCACCCCTTTCTTTTTAGAAGGATTTGGTAGATGTAACTGCAATTGTCTGTGTTCCAACAGTCAGGCTCCTCTGTTAGCTCTAGCTTTAAGAAGTCTGTAAGGTGTAGGGTTTTGTTTCTTGCCCGTGGTTTTGAGGCTAAGTGAGCAAGGACAGAGAACATGTGGTTTCCTGCAAAGTTTTTAGCCATCTGACAAGAAGGCAAATTTTCTGGTGGTGTAAGCAAATGTTTGTGAGGTGGTGTTTCACCTGTGGGCTCTCTCACATTTGTCAGTCTGACAGATCTACAAGCGAGGCCAGTAAGCTGCGTGCTGTGTTTGTGCCAACTACAGAGCCCAAAGAAAGTTTGTCTCATGTGGGAGCAGTTGGACAGGAATTTCGTCTGAACTATGAGCTAAGATATTACTTCTGGAAAAGGTGTTTGGGGGAGGAGGGAGGGCATTGTTGGAAGAAATGTCATCTTGGTCGTTGGCCCATCACCCAATGTCACCTCTGAAATGAGGTGACATTAATTAATCTGAGAGGTAATGAGAATTCACTTCGTGTGGCAGGAACTGGAGTGGCACAGAGGAATCCTCCCCACCCACGATAAGGTGTAAAAGGGCAGGTCGAAAGAACTCTGTTTCTCTGGGCAGTCCTCCCTTTGACCTCTCAAGTTCCTCATATGCCACCTCCCTTTTCTGTTCTTAAAAGGTTGCTTGAAACCCACTGAGTCTTCCAATAAGGTGTGTGGGTTTTTTCTGTTCTTTCAGAGTCTGTGGCTTTTGAAGACGGGCAGCCAGTAGTGTTGGAAGATGGCAGTATGGCCTACATACACAGCGTGGCTAAAGGTAGAGCGTGTTTCCTGGTTTTACTTTGGCAGCTGGAGCAGAAGCTGCTTAAGTGCTGTACGTTTCAGAAGGCTGCAGGTAGCCCAGGGAGGTGAAGAGTGTCTCGTACTCAGCAGCTCTTTTACATTTGATTTTATTGGTTTCCTCGTGCAGAAAGTTTTGACCCCAGCACCTTTGAGGCTGTCCAGCTGGAGGATGGCTCCACTGCCTACATACATCGTCCTGTCATCATGCCACCTGGCAGCACCATCCTGGAAGTGCAGGCAGAAACTGGGCTGGAGGAGTTGGCTGGAGAGGAGGAAGACGATGCCTTTGATGTTGAGACCATTAATGCATTAAAGCAGTACGCCAGTAAGGTGAGGGCGCAGCGCTTCTTTCATGGTCTGCCAGCTGTGGGGCTGATGTCTTTGTCGCATTTGGCCTGGGCTTTAGGTGTCCTCCCTTCATTAGTACTTGTGTGTGTTGGTTTTTCAGCAGTGCCAGCTTTGAGAAGAGAAACTGAACAGGGCACCTGTGAGAGTGTCACCGCTGACAGGCGACCTAGAATGGGGCAGTTGCCTGCTGGACCCTCTAGCTGGTTCCTACAGAGTGCTGGGCCGTTTCCCCCTAACCTGCTGCAGGCACGGGTTTGGGAAGAGCAGAGAGCTCTTACGATACAGCTTGGATTTTTTTTTCTTGCTTTATATGTCTCTCCTTGAAAGTGTTTTCTTCCTCTTTGCCCAGGTTTCTCATAATGCCACCCAGGTATGATATTCTCTTCCACGGATAATTCAGGCAGCAGATCAAGACTAACCTTTTACATGTCAGGAGCAGCTAAGTTATGGCCACTGTTCCCTGGGTTGACAAAAGCCTCAAAAACCAAAATAGCTTCAGATTCTAACACGTTGCATGGTGTTGTGTGAGAAGGGGCTACCAGGAGTAGTGCTGAGAGTGCTCAGCTGGGCAGCATTAAGATTTGCCGATGTAGACCTTTCTGCTGTGGTAGGACCAGCCTCCCCTAGCTCTCTGGAGAAGAGTGGTGTGGCACTGGTGATGCGAATGCCTTTCTGCTCAGGTTGCTCACCTGTTCCACGCTGTACCAAGAGGCACAAACAGTACTTGTGCTTCTTTACTTGCAGGTGTCTGACGAGAAAGAGGAGGGAGTGACAAACACCTGCCATATGAAGAGTGCGGATTCCAGCAGCATCCCTTCCCAGGTCTGAATTTTTCAGTGATGCATTTCTGAAACTAGGCTGAACTCCTCTCGATGCAGAATGCTTTGCCACCTAGTAATTAAAAAAGCTTTGTGGCTTTTCTGCAAGATTAGCAAATATATTGGCTGCAAGTTTTACAAATGAGCTAAGTGAAGCACAGAGAGGTGAGTTATGTGTCTGAGAACACCCAGTGAGTTTGGAGGTGGGAATGGGAAATCCTGGTTCCTAGACCCCTGCCCTGTTGCCTGAGTTTTACCATATGTGCACAAGCTGTGTTTGTAGGAACATGTTTTTGTGAGGATAACCGAAGGAGTGCAGATGTATAGCAAGGAGGGAGATGATTTGTGTGGGCTTTGCGAAGCCTGCCATAGGGCTCGCTGAATTAATTTCCTTACATCTCTTGGCAGGGTTTGCAGGAGGAGGAAGTGCACAGCAATGAGAAGGGGCAGCAGGTTGGCAGTAGAGCTTTCCGTTGTGGGTACAAAGGCTGTGGCCGCCTCTATACCACAGCCCACCATCTAAAGGTAAAGCAGGAAACATGCAGTGTGCAGACCAGACATATCCCTGGGTTATATACCAAATCAGAATGCTGCTGTACAAAAGGCTGAGTTGTGTGCTTGGCTCCCCGAGAGATCCTGATGTGTTAATAGGCCAAGGTGAAGTCCAACAGAGAACTTCAGGTTCTTTCCATCAGCTAGATTTCTCCACACTGTTTTCCTTCCTCCTTGTCTTGGACCTCATTTTAGGGACCTGTTCTTTCTTTTCCAGGTACATGAGCGTGCTCACACAGGTGACCGGCCATATACGTGCGACTTCCCAAGCTGTGGGAAAGCATTTGCTACAGGTAACAATTTCTCTTTTGAGCAAATTTTGTTTTCTGTCCGGTCCAAACCACTCTTTAGTATCAGCCCTGGGTTTTTTCCAGCAGAGCACAATAAGCATAGCTTTTAAAGCCTTCTGAGAAGGAATTGTAGCATGGGAAACCGCCCGGGACTTGATTGATTATGGACAGATTAAAGGAGCTACAGGAAGAAACTGAGTTTACAGTGGTGTTTTGGGGTTATTTGGATGTTTCTTTCCCTTCAGCTTTGCAGACGCAGGACAGACATTCAAAAATGCATGAACTGAGAGGTGATACACAGCTCGCCATATTATTTCCTTCTTGTTATAAAATTTAACGGTGGTTTCTTTCCTGGACAGGGTATGGGCTGAAGAGCCACATGAGAACACACACTGGTGAGAAACCATACAAGTGTCCAGAAGACATGTGTAGCAAAGCCTTCAAAACCTCTGGGGATCTACAGAAGCACATCCGGACACACACAGGTGAGCAGCACAGGAGAACTGAGCTCCCTGTCAAAAGGGTCTCCACGGTAAAGTACTGCTTGTCCAGGACATGCCTTTTTGTATCTTGGGTGAAGCAAGGAAGAACTCAAGTTGTCTTCAGACAGGAGTAGATGGGTAGTAGAAGTAGTACTAGGGATTCTCGACTCAGTTATGAACAGAAGAGTGAAAGGGGTAGAGATGCCAGCATTACTAGAGGAAATGTGCCAGCAGTTGGGTCTGATCTTAGCTCTGGTGGTTGTAATCCTGTGGAGGAGTGCAGGGATACAGGTGTCCGTGTTGTAGCAGGACTCTCATCACATTCCTCTCTCGCCGCAGGTGAGCGTCCCTTCAAGTGCCCCTTTGTGGGCTGTGGCCGCTCTTTCACCACATCCAACATCCGCAAGGTTCACATCCGGACGCACACGGGCGAGCGGCCGTACATGTGTCCGGAGCCCAGCTGCGGAAGGGGCTTCACCAGTGCCACCAATTACAAGAACCACATGAGAATCCACACAGGTAAGAGGAGGAGAGGGTGAAACGCAGACAGCTCCTCCCCAGTCAGCTGGATGCACTGACAGTGTGCAGCAGCAGTGAAATCTGTGGGACAAATGGTCGTTTCCAGGCCAGGCGTTGCAGCCGTAGATCTGGGCGTAGCCAGGGATTTAAAGGAAACAGGAATTGCTTTATTGGGCTGGTTATTGTTCCAGTGCTCTGTCTCCAGCTATTCCCTCTTGATGGGGAATCCCTTCGCAGAGCATGAGGAGGGTGAGTGGGCTAAGCTCTGCTCTGTGGCCTCTGCCCTAGGAGAGAAGCCGTACATGTGCACTGTGCCGGGCTGTGGAAAGCGCTTCACGGAGTACTCCAGCCTCTACAAGCACCACGTGGTCCACACGCACTGCAAGCCCTACACCTGCAATAGCTGTGGGAAGACCTACCGCCAGACCTCCACGCTCGCCATGCACAAGCGCAGCAGCCACGGCGAGCTGGAGGCCACAGAGGAGAGTGAACAGGCCCTCTATGAACAGCAGCAGCTGGAGGGTGAGCAACCAGTCTGCCATCACCCATGGCAGGGTTGGGTCGGGCCGTGTGGCAATGGGGAGAGAGATGACAGCAAGAGCCTGCAGCCTCTCCCCTCTCTCAGACCCAGGTCTGTGCTGTGGCCTCTTGCCTCCCCCATCACCCTAAATCTGTGTCACAGACGAGAGTAAAGGGCTCCCCGTGGTCCTTGCTGTCTGTCACCGGTTGGGAACGAACTTCTGCCTGTTCTGTAGTACAAGGAGAGTTAAAAACCCTTTTTCCCACACTGGTACTGGCTGTTGTCACCATGATCTTGTGCTCTTCTGTGCTGGCCCTTCAGTTAACAGGCAGGTCCCCGGGCTCAGGCGTGTGCTTTCTCGCTCTGATTAGTGCTTCTCACCCCTTTTGCTCTTCCCCTTCCCTGGCTCAGCTGCTGCTGCTGACAGAAGCTCCCCCCTGAAGAGCCAGCGTGTTGCTTTCTTGTCAGAGATGGAGGAAGAAGAAGAGGAAGAGGAAGATGGAGATGGTATGCCTACGCAGGTCTCACTTATCTCTCAGGATGGGACAGAGCAGGTATGGACACTGACAGCCTCCAGCATGTGGGAGACAGCAGTTGACTGAGTGAGATTCTGCCTCTACCCAGCCTTGGTGTTCTCTTTAAGGCTTTTTTCAGCATGGAACAGACCCTGGGGCTTCACGGGCTCTGTCTGTTGTGAGGTCTCCCTCCTCACAGCCTTATCCCACTGCTGCAGGCTTGATGTGGAGCATCAGAATGGGCCTTTGGTCCCTGACTCGTGTTCTGGCTGGACAGGGTCTTGCAGGCGTTTGCCCAGGCTTGTGTGCAGCGCCTGGCAGCCCTCGCCTCCTGGACAGCTGTGGAGAAGCAGCTCCCAGTCTCTGCTGACACAGGCTGGATTTGGAGATTGTTTTTTCATCGTTTGTGTACAGCAGTGCTTTTCTGGTACTTCCCTCCACCAGCTGCCTGTGTGCTGACTGGGGAAAAACTCCTTTCTGTGGCATGGGGCAAAGGAAACAGCTGCCACCAGTAACGCTTGTTTCCTCTTGCTCCTTGCTGCAGCGATGCACAAGCTGTTGCTTCAAAATGTGGCGAGAAGTTGCTGGATGGGGAGGGGAGGTGTGGTAGAAGGGGTAGGGCTGGAGACTTGAGGTCTGTGAGTTCTCCATCAGTTCTGTCCATGACCCTGGGCAAAGTCCTTGGAGTTCTTGGTGCCCTAGGACTTGACTGCAGAGGAGAAGATGTTTCATCCTTCCTGAGACCTTTGTGTTGCTAAACTCAGGAGCTGCGTAGGGCTTCCTGAGAAGCCACCCTGGCTGAGAGCATCGCCTTTTATCCCGCCCAGGTCAGGCTGTCGCAGGAAGACTTGCAGGCCCTGGGCAGTGCAATCAGCATGGTGACACAGAGCGGTGCCCTCGCTGTGCCCAAGGAAGAGCTGGCAGGTGGTGACACGCACACTGTGACTGGGGCCTTTTGCGCAGCCGGTACAGACAGAACTGAGACATTCCCTTTTCCCTGCAGAGACACAGCCTGCTAGAAGGGAATTGCATTTTTTTAAAAAAAACCCCATGATTGTTTTTTATCTTAACTTTTCCTAGGTTACCATAGTCACTTCTGGGGCAGTCGTGTCTGAAGAATCAGCCATCACATCCCTCCATCATCAGCAGGTGGCATTGCTGGCGACCACCAATGGCACCCACATTGCAGTGCAGGTACCACACAGCTCCTGCCACGTTCCCCCACCAACCCACTGGCATCAGCACTTACCCTCTTGCCCTGCTGCAGCTCCTCTTGCCCAGGGTGCTTGCTCCTTAATTCCCAGATGCCCTGTGCATAGAGGAGAGCAGGGACGTGCTCCTTGGATTGCAGAATGCTCCTCTGTAAGCCAGAGGAGCCATGTCCCTCTCTCCTTTGCCCTGCTGCTTTCTCCCTGTTGCCCACTGCCAGTCCCTGGTACCTCTGTGCTGCTGGGGGCTGCCCTGAGCGAGTTCACGCCTCCTGAGTCCACGTTTTGGGAGAACAGCATTATCTCTCTCCCTTTCCTCCCCTAGTTGGAAGAGCAGCAGAGCCTGGAGGAAGCCATCAGCATGGCCACGGCAGCAATCCAGCATGAACCTGTAACGCTTGACGCAGCCGTGTCTGAGAACGGGTGCTGAGACCCTGCAGAGCCTCCCGGGCAGGCGGAGCAGGCAGCCCGAGCCGGTTCTGCACGGGGCTGCCGGGAGCTGCAGGAACTGGACCGGCTGGCACGTAGAGGAGGTGCGGGACACGGGCAAGGGAAGGTGTCTGGGACCAGTGGCCGGCGTACGCGCCGTGCAGGTGCTGAGAGGTGGTGCCGGCAGCGTTGGGCTGCTGGAGTGACCCTGTTCCAAGAGCTCTTCTCTCCAAAGAGGGATGTCGAAGATACTTGGCTGCTGCCTTCTCCTGGAGGCTCTGCTGTTTTCCTGGGCTCTGAGCAGAAACTTTGCTGTTCCTTCCCTTGGGCATTCACTCCCTCTCTCTAGAGGAGACGGCAGACTCCATCTTCTAGTATTTATTTCTTCATGGCCAGGATTTCCAAGACCTGCCAGTCTTCTGCAGTAGAGGTGGAGCCACAGAGATTCCAGCAGTTGCTGGGAGTGCAAAATATTTTTGGAGAGGCACTTCCTGCCCTCTCCCTTTAGGAATGGTCCAACAGCTCCCCTTTCCTGCCCACCCCTCCAGATAAGGGACAAGTGGGCAGCCTATGAACAGAAGCAATAAAGCCCCATCAAAGCAAGCCCATGCTGTGCTGGGCTCAGTGTCTGGAGCAGTGACCAGTTCCTGACGCTGGAGCGAGTGCCTGGGCCAGCTCCAAGAGCAATTCTCCCATCTCTTCATCGCTCTCTGCTCTCCAGCAAACTTCCTTGGCAGACTCGGTGCTGCGGAGCAGAGCAAAGTGCTCCCTCCATCAAAGCCAACCAGCACTTGTCAGGGGCTGAGCTAGACTTGGATGTAAATACTAAGTTGAAATAAATTTCTTTATAAGAAAAAGCACCCCTCTCTCTTTCAGTCCCTGGGGCCAGTGGCTGGCAGAGGGTGAGATGGGTGTTACTGTTTTGCAGATCTAAGGATTAAGGAAGTTCAGGAGGTTGGTTGAATTGACTGAAAGTGTCCTGCCAAAGCATTGGTTGCCCAAAAAGTGCTGAGGAGGGCTGTGAGCAAGAGAAGTTGTAGCCTCTAAGCCCTCAGCACGTGTCTTGGAGGGGCTAGGAGCTGTCTCCTGAATCTCAGATCAGGCCTTGGCTCTTCCAAGGACTCCTGCAAGCCTAGATTTAGGGAATTGTGTCAATACTAGAAAATGCATCTGCGAACACATCTTACAACCTTCTGAGCTACGGAGGGGTACCTGGGCTGGATTCCTCCACCCAGCAAGAGTAACCTCAGCTCCTCTGCCGGGTACCTCTGCCCCAGGCAGTCTGCGGGCAGAGCCAGCGCAGAGAGCACCGTGCAATCATTTAGGTTGGAAAAGACCTTTAAGATCATCGAGTCCAACCATAAACCCAGCATCAGCGCAGGCTCCCAGCAATCAGGTGGTTTATTTTTTGGATATACCCGAGGAGTTTTGGAGAGGAAGAGGTTCCTGCAGGCAAGGAAGGGTCATAACCCAGGAGGGCTGCAGTGGGCTACATCGCTCGCCTTCCTCGGTACGGCTGATGCCAAAACAAGCAGGGCTGCAACCTTTCCAAACGGCACAGCCCCTGCTCCCCCTGCGAGGGGAAGCTCTTGGTTTAAATCCCAGAAGGGGAAGCTGCTATTCGAGTCGAGGAGGGGATTTTTTCTCCGCACAACACAAAACACCGAAAAAGCTTTTGATCTTTAGGCTGAGCTAGCAAAGGGTTACGAATCCCTGTCCCGTTTGTGCTCCGTGAGCTCTGGATGGTGCTTCCCTGGGTGTGCGGGATCTGTCTGGGTGTGTGGAGGGGGGTAAAGACCTGCAGCCCAAGGGACCGTGGGGCCGAGATGGTGCCCGTGGGCTTCTCCGGGGCGAGCCCAAGCAGATGGCGCTCCTGCTTCGCGCGTTCCCAGCCGCCCAGGGCT